TGGCCCCTCCTTTTTTTAATATCTAATACTTTTACATGCTGCTAGTGAGAGAACCTGTTGTTAAAATATTTGAATCCCACCACTGCCTTCAATGCTCACACCAGTGGGATCATAAGCTAAGTGCAACCTGTCTAGGGACATTTTGGTCCTATACAACTCAACACACCCTTGAAGTGTTGAGCCAGTAATGCCTCCCTGAATTACTTGGATACCATGTCGATCTATACTATTAAGTAATACGGTACTTAATAATATTTTGTAAATTGTGTGCGGCAGCCTTACATGTCACATACAGATAACTTACAATAAACCATATTTCGTAACTTGAATCTGTATATTTTACATTTATGTTTATATTTTTCATCTCTTAAATGAAATCTCTTTCAATCTGCTCAAATCTGTGAATTTAAAATATTTTGTTTGTCTAATAAATATGACCATAACTTTGGTCCTTTTGATATGCAGACTGACTTAATAAAATACAGGGCTGTTCCATAAAATTATGTTATACATTAAAATACGCTTGGTGGTTTGCGCGTAACAGTTGGCGTGAAGCCAAATAACAGCCATTTCAGGATGATGCACAATCTTTCAATTGAAATGTTGGCATATGGATTTTAACGTTAAAATCAGAAATGTAGTGTTGCCGAGCGCACCGAAGCACAGCTCTGGCAACTGAAATTGGAGTTGAGTCCCGATACTTCAAAAATCTAAAAATATGTATGTAAAAAACTAAATCTGTTTCATAACCAAAAGTCGCTTTATTTAGCTATTCGTGTTGGCAGGATAGGAGGTATGCAAGGTATTATCAAAGTCAAGGTCTTCAATGTTTGTAATTAAGCACAAAGCTACATAATGGGCCATCCATGCTCTGCCTACCACTGATATAGAAACTCGGTTTCTAGCTCTGTAAGTCCACAGACATACCGCTGTGCTACTTGGGTGGGTGGGAGTGTTTTTAATGTTATAATGCAGTTAAAAAGTAGTAAATTAATTGTCCTATGGTATGGAGAGTGGTAAGTTTACAGACTTCTAAAGCTAACACCTGGGGTTCGATTCCGTGCGTTGGACACAGCAGATATGCCACTGTGATTTTTCTATAAAACAAAAGATATGTGATTTTAAAACTTGTTTTAATCTCAGTGATTTCTATTTGGAACACAGTTGTTGTTTTTTTGCCTTGCTGCTTAATTTAGGGGAAGTTGAATTACGGGTTTTCTCTCGCTACTATATGCATATTCGATTTGGTTTTAGTGTAAATATTCTCAAATAACTTGTGTTGAATTAATTTCCTTTGTTTCAAATGTACTAAAACAAATGAAATTTACCTTTGATATATTTACCCTTATGGTGGCCCCCAATGGCACAGCGGCATGTCTGTGGACTTACAACGCTAGAAACCGGGTTTCGATACCCGTGGTGGGCAGAGCACAGACAGCCCATTGTGTAGCTTTGTGCTTAATTTCAAACAAACAAACCTTTATGGTGACGTCATACGTCTGACAAATTTTGGCAGGATTCCGGCACTATAAAAGTTGGCAATACATCACCGGTTAAAATCTGATACTTAAGTAATTAACTGTTTTTAATAAATCGTCTATTTATATTTTTATTTCTAATTTGGATGTCTTACTTCGTGCTTTCAAACATAACATTAAAATATTACTTTTGAAACTATAATTTCCTCAAAGTTTACAATGAAGAAGTTATACCAGTTTACTGAATAAAATCTTTTACTGTTTTCAAATCTTGCGACTCTTTAATGTTTTTAAATGTCCCATTTTAGAAACAAGCGGTGTATACTGTTACGTATCTGCTTGTTTGTTAATTTCCCGTAGAAATTC